AAGCCCCCAACATGCAAAAAAAAATGCTTGAGGCACACGGGCAAAGGATAAGTGCTTCACACGAGTAGAAGCATAAAGCACAATAGAGAGAATAAAACTCATACGATCGTGTCTCTCTCCTCCATACGGTCGAGCCTCTCTTTTTCAGCAAGACACTTTGATTTTCTTAACACTACTCGAGTCCAAATAATATATGAACTTGTTTGCTTGTAAAGGTTTAGTTAACACATCGGTTGGATTATCTTTAGTGAGAACTTTCTTTACAGCAATCTTCTTGTCGAAACTCGCTTCACGAATGAAATGATACCCGATATCAATATATTTGATCCTCTCGTGATGTGCTTGATTTTTTATTAAGTGTATAACACTCGGTTGTCACCAAAGACAATCGATTTTTTTTCTTGTTAAAGATCAAGTTCTTCTATAAGATTTCTCAACCAAATAGCCTCTTCTACAACCTCAACTACCGCCATATATTCTACTTTAGTGGTAGACGGAGCAACTATCGACTATAATGTTGATCTTCAATTTATAGTAAAACCCAAAAGTGTAAAGATATACCTTGTCAAAGATCTCCTTTTAGCGAGACACTTACATAGTTAGAATCCACAAAGCCTACAACGAAGGTTCGAAGCATTGCCTCTTTTAAAGACTAAACCTAAGTTTATGGTACCTTTGAGATATATGAGAATCCACTTCACTGCTTGCTAATGCACCTTTCCTGGATGAGCCATATATTTGCTCACAACACTAACTCGCTTTGACAATGTCTAGACGAGTGTAGATTATAAAATACATTATGTTGCCTACTACGCTGGAATATGAAACTTGTGACATTTGCTTCTCTTTTTCTTCATTCCGAGGTGACTGAAAAGCTAAGAGTCTAGAGTGAGCGACCAATGAAATACCGACAAGTTTGGCCTTTTGCATACCAAAGCATTCAAACACTTTCTCAATATATCCTTTTTGTGAAAGATATAATATTTTAGCCTTCCTATCTCTATGAATTTCCATACTTAAAATCTCCTTCGATGCTCCAAGATCTTTCCTCTCAAATCATCACTCGAAGTCGTTTCTTTAGCACTCTGAATTTTTGACATATTTTTGATAGCAATAAACATGTCATCCACTAACAATAAGAGATACACAAAAGATCTATATGCTAACTATCCGAAATACACATAACTATCATAAGTAGATCTTGAATAGCCATAATTAAGTATAAAACTATCAAACCTCTTGTACCACTTGCCTTAGTGATTGTTTTAAGCCATACAAAGATTTCTTCAATCTACAAACATGGTCTTTTTTTCCTTTCATGAAGTATCCCTTTGGTTGAGACATATGAATAGTCTCCTCAAGCTCTTCATATAAAAAAGCTATTTTCACATCAAGTTGCTCGAGCTTTAAATCAAATTGAGTCACTATAACAAGCAACACATGAATAGTGATATGTTTCACAACTAGAAAAATACTTGATTATAATCAATTCCCTTTTTCTAACTATAACCCTTATCCACCAATTGTGCCTTGAATCTAGCATATTCAACATTAGGTATTCTTACCTTTTTTTGTAGACCAATTTACATTCAATGACTCTGTTACCTTTAGGTAATTTCACCAAATTTCAAGTCTAATTTTTATAAAGTGACTCAAGTTCTTCTATCATTACAATGGTTCATTGACTAGACTTTTCATAAACCATTATCTCTCGTATAGGTAGAAGGCTCATGAATACTCATTGTTTTAGCTTTAGTGAGGGCATAAGCTACTAGATCAGCATAAGCATATCTCTAGGGAGGTCTTATTTATCTACTCTCTCAACTAGTAGCTATTGAGTAAGGTTATTCAAATTTTATGACATCTTCATTCATATTTAAATCTTGTTGCATGTTTGTAGCTATAGGGGATACATCTTGGAATGGTTATTAAAATATTTCTCTTTTAAAGTCCACTTAAAGCTTCACCTTATCCATGACTTTCACTCTTTCCTAGAGACTCACAAACAACCTTTCCTTGATCAAGTATATATTTCTCATTAAATGTAACATCTCTATTAATAATGAATTTAGACGAATTAGGTTCAAGGCACTATAGACGATAGCCTTTCACCTCATCAACATAGCCAATAAATATGTATTTTTTTCTCTAGGTTCAAGTTTATCATCTTTAACATGATAATAAGCGGGGCATCCAAATACTTTAAAATTTAAATAATCACTAGGTTTACCCGACCATACCTCATTTAGAGTCTTACAATCAATGATAGTAGAGGAAGAACGATTAACAAGATAACAAACCATGTTAATTGCTTCGACCTAGAAATCCTTCTCCAAACCTCGAATTAGAGAGTATACATCTAGCTCTCTCCATCAAAGTCTTATTCATGTGCTCTGCCACCGCATTTTGCTGAGGAATGTGTTTAATCGTGTAATGTTGAAAAATTTTAGAGTTTGTATAAAACTCATTAAAATTTCCATCATAAAATTTCAAGCCATTATCTATTCGAATATGTTTAACCTTCTTCCATGTTTGATTTTATACTAGATTTTTTCATTGTTTAAAGGTTTTGAAAACATCATTATTATGTTTGAGAAAATGAACCTAAATCTTCGAGAGTAATCATTAATAAATGTTAGAAAATAAAGTACACCATCTTTGAATGGAACTCGAGCTGGTTTTCATAAATCTAAGTGAACATAATCAAGTGTGCCCTTTATAGAATGAGTGCCAATAGAGAACCGCACTCTAGTTTACTTTTCTAAGACATAATGCTCACGAAATCAAGTGATGTCATTTGATCACCATAAAGCAAATCATGTTTATTCGGAGCAAGTCATACCTCTCTCACTCATGTGGCCTAGAATTATATGCCACAATTGAGTTCTTTCATTTTCAAAGTAGGAAGTAATCACCCTTGCAGAGCTCATTCATCGTACCGCCATCTAATGCATAAAGACGATTAATCCGAATAGCGTTCATCATAACCAAAGAACCTTGAGAAACCTTAAGAATTTCACTTTTACTAGAGTAGCTATAACCTCTCGAATCTAGATAGCTTAAAGAAATCAAATTCTTCTTCAAATCGACATATGTCTCACTTTCGTTAAAGTCTTAACAACCGAATCATGACACCTAATATGAATTGTACCAATATCGATCATCTTACAAGCTGAATTTTTACCAATCAAAACAAAACCATCGATTATGAGTTTATCGGTGGTAAGCCACTCTTTATTTGGACACATATGATAAGAATCACTTGTATCTAAAATCCACTCTTGATCGAATGACCATCTAGAGGACATATATCAAGAACACTTTCAGCGAAGCATTAACATCGGTAGCCTTCGCCATACTAGCAGACTCAAAACTTTGACCCTATGGTTTTTTCTTATTCTTCGAGTAGAATAATATGATTTGTAATGTTCTTTCTTGTGAAGGTAGTAGCACTCATTATTATTTTTTTCTTATTTGTGAGTGATCTAGACTTAGAATGGAATTTGAGTCTTCCTTTACAAACCTCTATTTCCTTTTGTCTTTCCTTTACTAGTAAATCATCAACTCGACTATCAACGACTTTACCATTTAGCTTATGTCTTAGCTCGGTAGAATTCAAAGGGACTTTAACATCCTCTAAAGTTATGAACTCTCTACCATACAAAGCAGGTAATGAACACAATACGTAAAGAGCTTGATCTTCCTCATCAAGTTAATATCAAGATTTTTCATATCTATAACAATTTTATTGAATTCATCAAGGTGTTCTTGAATAGATATACCTTCTCGCATCTTTAGTGTATAAAGATGTTGCTTCAAATACAATCTTGTTGTAAAAGATTTCTTCGTGTAGAGGATTTCCAACTTCTTCCAAAGTCCCGATGCGATCTCTTCATCTCGCGATTTCTCACAGCACCTTGTCCGACAATGATAATTATAAAACACCATAAGCCATCTCATCCATCTCTTCAATTTCGATAGAAGTTATATCATCTAGGCATATATCCTTAATTGCCTTGATGGAACCTTTATGTCGCAACAAAACTTTCATCTTTATCCTCCATAGGCCAAAATTATTTTGACCATCAAAAGGCGTAACATCAAATTTCAAAGTCGCCATTACGAATAGAAAACCCAAAGATATGCAACCTACACTCGATACTAGTTTGTTATGACAAATAGTGAAAATAAGATAAGTAATAGCGAGAAAATAATCAAAAGATAATGCTATACAAATTATCAACACATAGAATTTATATGGTTCAAGCAAATTGCCTACTCCACGGGCGAGAGGAAAGTTTAATTAGCTTAATAGCAGGAGAATACAAAAATCCTGGATGCTTAATCAAAGTTTTTGTCTTTCACTCTATTTTTTAAACAGAGTTATAAGAAGGTTTAAATACCTCATATCTATATTAAAAAAAAAAAAAACTAATAGACTAAATATATTATTGATCTATAAAATTCAAGCCATAATTCAACACATATAGACATATGTGTGTGTTTGTCTTTTTTATTTTCTTCGGGTTTATCTTTATCAACTTTTTAGCATGAATGAAATTGAGAAAGAGATGAGGTAGAAAGGTGACAAAGAATAAATGGTTTTGAAGATTATAATTGTATCAACATCTCAAATTTAAATGTTCAAAATAACCCTAAAATCAAACCAAATAATAAAATGAATAAAAGAAAACAAGGACATGACGGTCAAAGCCTCCAAAATGCTTGAACTTCTTTGTAAAACACGCACAATACAAAAATGCCTACAACGAAGAAAGGACAAATACACAGTCCACATGAGTTATGGTCTACAGTAAACCCACCCGTAAACCCTTTTTTTTTCTAAACCTACCTACTTATTAAATACTTATTAAACAGATGCCTAATTTCCTTCGTTTCTACGGTTATTTTCTTCTAGTGCCCGGTAGTGAAACCTCAATCCATTTTATTCAAATTGTGATCTCAACATTTCCCGCGAGACAGGGACAAAGAAGATGACGATGACAGCTTCAATTCACTGCTTGACTCTTCCTTGCAAGCCAAGGAATCTATCTCTTGCCACCAACCCTTCTCTCTTTTCTCAGCTAAAGCTTGCAACTTTCAGGCCTCTCAGTTTTTCCTCTAACCTCGTTCTCAGTCTCTTCTTTAAAGGTATTTCACAAGCCCCTTTCTCTTTCAAATTACAAATTCTACGCAAATAAAGGTAACCCATTTGCTTAAAGTCATTGTTTTGTAGCTCAGAAAGAGAATTATGGGTCTTTGATGTTAAAGGTTGTTGCTTTTTGGGGAAACCAAAAAACCCTTAACACTTCATGTAAGCCAAGTACTGCGTGTTGTTTTATCTTATCACATTTGAGTTAATTGTTTGTTCTTACTTCGATTATTTGTAACCAAACGGAAAAAAAAAAGGAATTTTTTGCATGTAATAGGTTCTTGGGTTTTCTCAAATTTAAGGGGTATTGATCTGTGATCATCTAAATCTTTTAGAAAGAAAGCTTGTTTCTTTCCTTTTCTTTCCTTAGTGCCTTCTATTGTCTAGGTACCAAACAGAGCAACGTGCAAATGGGGACTTTTTTCTCTTAAGTAATGAGGTTCTGTCAATTCCTAGGTTGGCTGTCAAGGAACACTATTGAGAGGCCAATTCGTCAGTCTGTTGTTTGCATGGCTAGAAGATATGGTGCCGACACTAGGAAGAGAAAGGTACATTGTTTTCAAATTCTCATGCCAGTTTTACTAAAATTTGTTTAGACACCATGTGTTAATGTCCTCCTTTTCTTGTATTTACTATTTTAGAAAGATACTTTTTGTGGCTAAAAGGGTATGTTTAAAAAAAGAAAAAGTTGGGGAAGCAACTTTAATTGTTGTAGGGTGAGTTTGATTATCGGTATGTAAGAGGGCACATAACTAGGAGTATGAAGCCTCAAAGTAGGGCTTGATGAACGTTTGGTGACTAATTGTGCCTAGAAGCATGCCTTCTGAGTTACTGACAGATTCTAGATAAGTTGTTCCTTTGCAATCATGAATTTTTGTGTGAAAGCTATATATAATTTTAAAATTATAGATAATGAATGTTGGTTCTGATTTACTGGTATTGTACTATATTTTGAGAAGATAGATGACTGTGAAATGTGAATTATGGATTCCTCAACAAGGTAGAGAAAGTGGACAGATGATGCTTGTAGTCAGCAATGTTTTCAATGATCGTTAATAGAGAGATGGTTTATGATTGAATGTAGTTTCATATGCATGCACCTTAATGTGCTGCCTTTGCTGCATATGTTTCGGAGGACTCTGTTCTCAAAATCAGCATGAACAAGAGTGGTTTAGCTGACTTCCATTTTGAGCCTGAGGTTATGGCTCAAATGCTTCTTCAGTTCGGTGGTGTACAAACTAAGAGTGGCCCCTCCACTATTTGGTTATTCCCCTCGGTGCTAACCTGTGTCCCAGCTTTAGAATCTAGTTGGTATTATGAAGTTTAAAGAGATTGGGTGGACTGAAAGGGGCTTTGTTCTCTGTTGATGGTCTCAGCACCTTGATGACCCTTTTTCGGTAATTCCCTCTCCTATTTATCTTTGTTTGCAGTTGTTGCTGCTCCTACGAAATGAGAGGTATTTTTTGTGGTCTAGAGGAATTGAGTTTAAAAGGTATCCTCTTCTTTAGCCGAGACAATCAAAATCTGAAAGGGTTTTGGGACTGGAAAGTCTGTTCTTAAGAATTATCTATAAGGTTTTGGCTCTCTCTTCCATATTCCCTTAGGCATCTAGTGTTTTGAAGCGTGTATGGCTTCCTACATAAGTGTTTGGATGTTAAAGTTTGTATTCATGTCACTCATGTGGGCCTAGAAATTTCACCTCTGAGGTATTTTCTTAGCTTCTTCCTCTAATTTCATATAAGGTTGGAGATATGGTTGTCAAATTCAATTTTGGGAAGATTTCCAGATAGGGGAATTCTTTCTACATCTTTTCCTTGTTTCTTTTCTCTGTCAGGTATTCATCGTGCTCCTACCTTTAATTTCAACAATCCCAAAGTGGTAAGCTTTCTGGAGGTTTTTATTTCTTTAGCAGCTCTTTACCCACATGCTAGATTCAAATTCTTTTTCAAGTATAAAGAGGAGAATTTTAGACTGTGGATACTTCTGAAAAGTTGACTTGCAAATCCTTGCTTGCTCATTCTACACATTCCTACCTCCTCTCAATATCATTTGGCTAAAGTACTAAGATACTCTCTAACATTATATATGTTTTTGCTTTGTAGTCCTTAATAACATTTTAATAATTTGCAAGAAAGAAGGCTTAATAAATAAGTGTTATCAATAAGTGCTTGCAACGTGTGTTGTTAGTTGTGATATCACATATTCATGCATCGTTGAGTTGCTTGGAGGAAGCCTCAAAGGGCTTTTCTGATCTTTAGAGAGCCTCGTATTTATCCACAAAGCTTGGAGGAGTACTTTCTTGTGATTCAGTTTGCAGGTTTTAGAAACTGTAAGCTTAGTGAAATATTGTGGCAGTATGCATTTGCATTGTTTCCAACATTTTGGAGTATCTGGTGTGAGATAAAACTGTAGAGTTTTCCAGAACAGGCATTTATCTTTGCATTTGATTTGGGATAAATTATAGTGCTCTATTACATGTGTTTGTAGAGGTGCTTCCTTGGATGACATGCAGAGTTAGTTTCTGTTGGTGATCAACCTATTCTAAGAAGATATTTTATTGAAAATAAGAAAAGAAAAAACAAATCCGGAGCCAAGCTACTCAGCAAGAGAAAATAGGATTTCCTCAGTGAAAATTTCAATTAAAGAGAGAGGGGGGGGGGGGGGGGGTGCTTAAAATAGGTTGATCACTAACAATGGAGCCATAATTGGGTTGGGATTGGGCCTGTTTGATGTTGGGCTTAGAATAGGTTGATCGCTAACAGTTTCCAGTTTCTTCTGTTCTTAAGGGGCTGCCTCATTCTATTTTACGTACATCATTCTTCTCTCTATCATAATAATTTATTTTCTTTCAAAACAAGATTTATTTTCTTATCAAAAGCTTTTCTTGAAATTTGTTTTTATGCCATCATTAATTTGAAAAAGAAAATCAATTTTTGAAAGGCCTTAGAGTTTCTAATCTCAAACCTTTCGAGCTCTGCCTGCAGATACAGAGCAGAAGAAAGGGCGGCGACCGAGAGAAGAAGAAGAAGCGTAGAAGGAAGGCAGCCAGGAAGAATAAGGATAGCTTCAAAATTGTCAGGCTTGTCTCTGCAGCAGGAACTGGATATGTTTACGCCAAGAGGAAAGGAAAGAAGAGTGAGAAGCTTGAGATCAAGAAATATGACCCTGATGTCAAGCATCATGTTATCTTTAAAGAATCGAAATGAAGTGAGTGAGAAGCTTCTTGTGCATAGCCTGTTCATTCTCTTAAACTTTTGCTGGATCATGTACTGCTGCCATTGTTTTTTGTGGACAAATATTGATTGTAGTAGTGCCAAATACAGGCCATGGTTAATTGGTAGGACTTTTTGTAAACTATTAACTCTTGTGAGAAGAAAATTTGTGAAAAACCTACTTATGTTTTGATTTTCTCGGGTGTTTCTTCCCCATCACTGTAACAAACCATGAAACGTTTCGTCTGTGTTTTCCATTTTCTGTTTCTACTGGAAATTAAAACCCATTCAGGAATACGCGGTCATTAAGGATTCCTTTGATGGGTATTACTGCACAAACTCACGCTCTATTTTGACATCCTTCAATATTTTCTTTCCGTCTTGTTTTTCAGCTGTGAAGGGTTTTAAATCTGCAAATCTATTTGGGAAATTACTATTTGTAGGTTGAGCAGATATAAGGCTCATGCCTCATTGTATAACAAAGCAAAATGATCTTTCTATTGGCATTTCAATGTACAGTTGTACTTGAATAAAATGATTAGGACCATTAGGGTTTCGTTTGTTTGGTGAAAAACAATTTTTAGTATGAAAACCAATTTTGAGGAAGCTATTTTTCAGAAAGTTGTTTTTCAAAAAAAATATTTTTCGACGTTTGGCAATTGAATGAAAAAATTGCTGAAAAACATTTTCCAACGTTTGTTTGATATAAAAAAACAAAAATACACAAACAAATTGTAGTTGTTATATCAATAAGTTTTGAAAGAATTTCAACAAGGCATATTAACAATTTTATAAACTTAAACTAATAAATAATAATGTGCTATTTTGTAGAATTAATTTCAACAAGGCATACAAAAATTATTTGAACTTTTTTTAACATGTTCCTATCGATATTTCTTAGTAGAATTTTTTTTTTAATAGACGAGAAAAAAATAAAGTTAGTCTTGTTGACCTTTTTTATATTAAAATTTATAAACTTAAACTAATAAATAATAATGTGATATTTTGTAATTGAAATAACACTACTTATAAAACATAAAAAATATAATATAATTAGTTATAAAAAAAGTTATATAATAAAATTATAATGAAAAACTTGGTTGGATAAATAAAATACAAAGCTCTTTCCATTCTATCAATTTATCTCCCCATAAGCCATACATTCAGTCAAGAAGTAAAATATAAGTAAATACATTGATGGTGCTTTAAAATCACAAGTCATTTTGTACAACATAATCATTCCACATATCTAATGCGATGACATCTCTTTTTGCTAACCATTCCCTATTCTCTTCCCTTTCTTCTCTTTGACTTAAACGGGTTCCATCCACAATCATGGATTGGCTTGATGTGGTAATTTCTTCCATAACATAATCATCATGGTCAACTCCTATTATATGATTATGAAGAATATAACTTGCAAGCACGATATTCACCTAAGTTTTGTAGGGCCAAAATGGTCGAGCATCAATACACCAAAATCTTTTCTTTAGTATGTCGAAACTACGTTCAATTGTTGTTCGTAAGGAAGAATGACGAAGATTAAATAACTCCTTTGCATTCTCAAGTGGATGCTCAATAAACTCGTTTAGATGGTATCGAACACCACGATATGGAGTTATCACTCCATTTCAAGTTCCGTAACTAACATCACCAAGATAATATTTACCTATAAATTTTATGAAATATACCACTAATAAAAATTTGTATACGCATAACTATATGAGTAGACAATGTACATTAAAGATTTTATTTAATACCTTCCGGAACCTTAAGTCCTCCGAATCGTGATAATGCATTGTTTAAGACATGAGAATCATGTGCATTGCCTTCCCAATCAGCTAAAATATAAGTAAATTTTAATTCAAAATTGATGGTTGCCAATACATTTTGTGTTGTTTCGCTCTTTCTACCAAGAAACTTTCCTTGCAGTTCCACAAGTACACTTGCTGGAATATGGGTACTCGTCAAGTGCTCCAATGCAATCCTAAATAAAAAATTAATATTTACGAAAATCTAATTTTTAATGAAATAACTTAAAGTAAGATTTTTTTTTCGAGAGATAACTAACCTTAAAATATGGAGAAAATCTTTCGTTGTTGGAAATTACTTCGGGTATTGAGTTAGATGGGTCTTGAATGAGATATGAGTACAATTTTAGAATTGCTCGCCAGTACAATTCTAAAATATTTATGCCCTATTTCAACGGATCTATAAAATTTTTCACTAATAAATCAAAATCTTGCATTGTGCCCAATTATTTGTAAGAACATCACCACTTGTTCTCTTATGGTCATATTTTTAGTTGATTGTAAAAAGGTTGATTGTCTTTAAAACCTCACACAATTTGTCAAATGACTTTTGTGATATACGAATTTGTGCAATATAATATCGATCACCTCGGTTAAGTATACTATTTATATAGAACTCTCTCATATAACTTCCATCAATTCGAGGTTGTCTTGGTATGGTAGTCCTATTTTCATACTCATCAACTATATGACATGCGAGTGATTGCAATTGAAGCACCCATCGTGCCTATGAGGCGAATCAATTTTCGATCCATCTACATAAAAATTTCAAATATATTGAATATCAAATATATAAGCTATCAAACAAACAAACAAACTATTTAGAATTGTTAGGTATATAGTTTCTAAAAGATCAAATATTTCGCTTTCAAATTTGTCATCTTCTACGAGTAAAAGTACAGTTTAGCAAAAAATATAGGATGAGACAATACATAGGATATACTTCCTCATTACCAAGAAAAGATGTTTACCTGAATATGATGATCAGGTTCCCTTTTTCAGAAGTCACATAAAAGTCTAACGAAGCTCTCTGGAACAAAAGTGAAATGCATATATTACTAAACCAGTTTAGTTTCAAATGAACATAAAATTAAAAAAATTATTCATCAAGAAAACAAGAACTCACAATGGTAGAAATGGGGTGAGAAGTATCAAGTAATATGCATATTTTTACTCACAGCAGTACAAAAGATAGGATGACCCATTCAGTTTAATAATTGCACAGAAAATGGAAAGACAAATACAACTAATAGACCCAATTAGCAATTTAAAACACAAAAAGGATTGACCATCTCGATGCCTCCCAAATCCAATTGTTTACATGGCACAAATTCAATCGAAATCACAAATTCTCACACAAATTCATGAACATAGACAACAAAATCCTACATTAAATGAGAACAAATCATTGGCAGCATGGCAAGCCTAATGAACACCCAATTTATTGGCAATCAAGTTTCCCTGATGGCAGCTTTTCCTGAGTTTGAATCGTAAATGTTGGGCATTGGATTTGGGCTCTATTAGACAAATGGACTATGCTGCTTAGCTAGTAAAATCTAAGAATTATAATAAATTTAACTATTATTATATAATATTAAATTATTAGAGATGTTATTACTTATTAGTATATTTAATGAATGAAATTGTTAAAAATATACGAATTAGAATAAACTTATTAACGATTGTTAATATATTCACGACATCGGTAGCCGTGATCATTATTTTACTACTGCGATCGCGACTGTTTTTTCAATCGCAATTGCTATTTAAAACTATAATCTTAGTCTCATTTTCTTGAATTAGGCATGTAGGATTTGCTTCTAGCAACATTTGCGAAAATTATCCAGTCCAATTGGTAAGGCTGGAATCGGAAACTCAATTGTTCAAGCTGATAATCAACAGCATCAGGAGTGAAGGATTCATCCAGAGTTGGTTTAGCCTGAACCCAATAAGCACTAGCCTCTGTTGTTGGATGAGTTGCTGGAACCCCATCTGCCTCGTCATAGCAACCACTCAAATCTGGCAGCCCAAGAATCTCACGATGGAGTCATCATCCTCTGTTGCAGCACCATCCCCATCATTGCCAATTGGCTGCAAGTTCTCTGCAGAATGTACTGTGGAAACAATCAACAAAACGATCAAAGCTGGATCAGCTATCAGCAATATGGAATTTCTTGCTTCACATGACAAGTGGAACTGCCAAATAACAGAACAATCCCATCAGGCTGGCTCCATGCTTTAATAAACGAAGACTTGTCGGTTACTATCTTGGAGATGAGCAAGTTTTTCATATCAATCCAATCAGGACTTGTATAACATTTTCAGCAAACCAGAATTGAAATTAGTACTTCTTGTTTTGCAGCTTACTTTGCAATTTCCTACTTCATCTATGGCGAGAAGGTTTCTTTATAGGAATCAGCTTCCGAATTGCAGCATGCAATATCATAACTGTAACAGGTGGAAATAGCAGCTTATTGAGGGAAAGGGAAAATTACTGAATGAGAAGGGGAACCATGAGGTTTCCCTCATCATACAAGAAGAAAAAAGGAGCATAACTAAGAAAAGTAACATCTAATTTTCACCTGTATAACTAACGCCAAGTGCACAAAAGAGAGCCATATGAACGTTTAAACATATCAGAACAACAGCAGTAACTGCAATGACGAGATGATATGATGAAGTCCCGAAAATAATTTTCATTATCCATCAATTTGCCCTGCTATACTCATTTGTATGCTTAGAATTGTTACAAAAATAAAAATCAAATGGTGATTAAGCAAACCAAAGTTGAATCACTAAGAAAACACAAGTTTTAAGGAATTTCAGTCCATCCAGTTCTACCATTTTCTAAAGATACGAGCAGGATTTACGTGGAGATCACTGTGCAGTCTGTTTCCAATTGGTACCACTACCATTGAGTTAGGCAGCACTTGCCCCAATTTAGATAATTACAATATCTTATCAATTGCCTAACAGCCTAATAAATATAACTCAACAGACACGTAAAACACCCCCACGATAAAAAATTATGACCACAAAACCCAAAATTCAACTTTCCCATTTCTTCTCTCCCTCGAATTTCCTCAGCAAAACGCATCCAAGAAAAAAAAATTCAATCCCTCTAATTTTTTTCACAAACAAAATCAAAAATCGAAAACAACCCAAACGAAAACTTACAAACGGCCATAGAATCCGACAAGGCAACAACAAATCCCCACCACGCAGCACCCTCAAGTCTCATGCAGTCAGGCACCTCACAAACCCATGGCTTAGCCCCGCAGAAGGTAAAAACCCTACATGTAGAGGAGTGTGGACTGGGCCCCAATATATGGGAAGCAGGAGCAGATGGGTCGGGCCGAGCTTACGGGTCAGGATCCAACAATCCAGACTGCAATATTTATAATTTTTTTTATTTTTATTATTATTAAAAACGCATCCCAAAAAAATGAAGAAAAGATGAAAAAATCACCGCGTAGAATTTGAAATCCTAACGAGGGCAGATTAGCGCTCATCAAGAGAAAAGATAGCAGCAAAGAGCATAAAAACCGCGTAATTTAGAAACAGAGTTGAGGGCAGGTTAGTAATTTGGGTAAGAAGCCCTCCACCGCCAACAAACTAGCCGTTGGACACCTCCTAAACCTAGCCTTCCCTCTCTTTTTATTCGGGGGAAAAAAACCTAATCTTGAACTCTCTCAGTTTCGGTAAATCTTTCTCTCAGTTGATTTCTCCCTGTCTAGTAACTCCAATTTCTTTTTTTGGTTCTTCTTCAATCGCCGTCATCTCTCAGAATTTTCTTTCTGTCAATTCAAATTGGAATTGGTGAATTTGCCATCGAAGATTCAAATTGAGGGTGTGGCTTATCTTTCCGTTTTTGATCAGGTTTGCTACCTTTATTCAGGCCAAAATTTTTTTTGTTTTCAGTATTTTTCTTTCAGATTTGATTTGATTTGGTTTTGTTTATTAATTGAAAATCAGAACGAAACAATGGCTTCTTCTTCTTCAATGCATGGTGTGGGTGCATTGGATAAAGAATTATCCAAGAGCACTGTGGGTTTTTCTGGGATTCCTATTGGTTTCAGATTCCAGCCTTCTGACCGTGATCTTGTCATCCACTATCTCTACAAGAAGATCAAAGGCATTCCTCTCCCTTCTGATTCCACTGTCCCTTTTTGTGATCTTTATGGCCACCAAGAACCTTGGGAAATTTGGGATGCCTTTGGAGGGAGTGACAATGAGGACTTACTCTTCTTTACTAATCTCAAGAAGATTAGCCCAATTCCATCTCGGAATCTCAAGAAGATGAAGCAAAGTGCACCTAGGACTCATCGTCAAGTTGGATCATCCGCTGGTACATGGCATGATGAAGGACGAAACAAGCGGTGCGAGTGGCTCGGAATTCAGTGGCTTGTCAAGATATTCACCTACGAGAATCCCAAATCCACGATTCAGAATGGGGCTTGGATGATGCACGAATATAGCCTTCTTCCTAATGATATTGTCGGCACTCCTACTACCACTGTTGTTTGCCGTTTGAGGAAGAAAAAACCCAAGAGGAAGAGGCAGTTGGATGATGAAGAAGAAAGTGATGATGATATGGATAAGAATCGCAAGCGCTCCAAGGCTGATCAGCTAGCAATTTCAACCATAACTGTTTCTCTGAGTGTGAATCCACCACACAGCCTCCTTCCTGATCTTGGCAATGATGCATTTAGTCCATTCGAACTCGAGCAAGAGGCAGCCACGAACGACAACAACGATGAGCATCTGTTGTTGGACAGCGCAGATGACCTGCTGTGTGAACCTGAAGATCACCTGCAATATTACAACAGGTTGCTTACTGATGACATGCTATTAACTGAGCCTTCTAATTCTGATAGTGAATCAATTAATCATGCTCTTGGACAACATCAGACAGTTTGTATTGAAGAGATGAGTCTTGATGAGGATGATATCCATTCTCTTATTCAGGAGCTTATATGCGAAGAAGCCCCTACTCTCTTGCAACAGAAGTCAATTTATTCCTTCAACAATCAATTTGATGATTTTTAGGGACTTGTACTCTGCCAGGTTTGCCATTGCAGGAAGCTACATACGATCTTATATAGAAACTAACATTCTTTATTGTAAGTAGTTGGCAGTAGTTAGTTACATCAACTCGTTGTTGGGATGTCATTAATTTGTTTTTTGTAATTGAGTTAGGAATTCATTATACGTGTGGTTTCCTCTTGGTGATTCTATGTCATGGGGCCACCAAATTTTGTAGTGTCAATTTTTTGCACTATGGAGCTAGAATTATGAGTGTCCGAAAGAGCTTGCAGTTCAAAAGAGATTTCTTATTTTTTTCCTTTGCTGTCACTTTGTGTGCTGTATGACTGATTGGTGACTTGTAAGCTTTGAATTGTTGAAGCTACAAATGAGAGAAATGATGTAGAGAATGAGCTTGCAAAGTGTAGCCTCATTAGGTTTTGTAGAATTGGTGGATTGACACCAGAAAAGAAAATGCACTAGTGATTGTATTTATCAGGTGAATAAGCAAAATGATGTGTTTAGACACATTTTAGGCTAGTAAGTTTGAAATCTTTGTGACTGTAGTTCATTTTGATTCTTTGAAAAAAATGCTGACCATGGCAATGGCGTAATCAATGTGATGCTCTATTCTTATTTTTGTAGCTAGAATATTAATTATATTTTAATTTGAGAGGTTCAGATTGTTTATTATACTTCCGATGAATTTTTGGGATTTAGTAGAACTTCAGACCTTCGGCCAACACAAAAGTCCCAACAAAGGCAATTTTCAATTTGAAAATGTGAATAGTTTTCTATTCTTACCAAGAGATATGATTTTTCAAGGAAATTTTTTAGGCTATTGCTATAATTTGAAATCACCAACAATTTAATAGGGGTTTTGCTCTAACATTGGAGCATAGGAATATAGTTGTAATGAGTATAGGAATATAGTTTGTATATCAGCACACTGCAGTCATCCTTTCCTATCACTCTCCGTTAATTGGTCAGCTTGCAGCATAATCACTTCTTCTATAAGCAATGTAATGGCATTCACTATGATTCAGTTGAAGCAATTTCCTTGCCATAGTTTTTACAACTGAGCATATTCGAACGAAAAGAAGAACGATAATAGAAATTATGTATAAATATTATACCTTCTCCTTTTCAAATCAAAAGCTGCCATCAAGTTGAGAACCAAGGAAAAATGGCTGCAGAGCAGGTTTTTGCATAGAAGCACAATTCATTTTCTTGCTAGTTGAAAAATGTTACAGCTAGGTACTACGCATCCTTTGCACTGTGTAACGTATCATAGTATTTCCTTTTGCTAGAAGAAATGGGGTTTCTGTATGGCAACAAAATTCATTTCCATCCTCGTTGAAAAATCTCACTCATTTCCATCCTAGTTGAAAAATGTTACAGCTAGCCGATAAGTATCCTTTGCCCATGGAAGAGAAGAACAATGATAAACAATCTGTAACATTCATACCGTATTCTTTCCTCTCTTTTTTTTTCTTTTTTAATTGAGGTTCAAACAACTAACTCATTCGGATCCATGATTTTTCCCATATAAAATGAATGAACAAACAAAAGTTTACATCTGATGTCATAATAACCCATTTTTGACTCTTCAATAATTATTTTAGATGTTTTACAAGTTTTTTTTTATTTTTATTTTAATACATAGTGTAGATTTCTGGTGAATTTATTTTTATTAAGGATCATTTTTATTAGTTTCAAATTTTATTTCAATTTTCCTTTATCATTTTAAGAAAACAATTATCCAAAAATAAATAAATAAATAAATATTTTTTTTAAAAAAAGAAACATAAAAAGAAAGGAAGAAAAAGATTTGAAAAAAATGAAGTCAATTTCGGCTTACTTGAAGGGCCAAATTGAAAAATAATTTAAAAATTGTATGGGTCAATTTGGAATTACTAGAAATATTGGGAAAGGAATCAGGAGTAATTGAGGGTCAATTTGTAGAAATTAGAATAAGAGAGACCTAAATTGCTCTATACGAAGGGACTTGATTGTGGAAAAATTCGAGAGCAATGAGCTTAAAATAGAAGAAGAGCATGAATAGGGGGCCATTTTTAACTCGCCAAAATCTTCTAAAAACCATAACTCTTTTCTCTCCCCCTAACCTTATTGGTATTCTTATGCACATCCATATCTCATACATCAACTTTATCTCTTCAACATGTAGAACAAAAACACAAGACAATAAAATTTGTCCTTAGCATTTCTTGATTCCCTCCACTCTTATCCTTATAAGATCAACACGTAAAAGAGCATTTAAAGGAGAAAGAAGAGAGGAACAATGTGGGATTGTCTCATACTCATGAAGAGGGAAAGATTGAGATGGAGAGAAGAAGATTTAAGGATGGAGAATGAAGTTAGGGTAAGATAAAAAAAAAAAAAAAAAAAAAAAAAAAAAAAAAAAGAAAAGAGAGAAAAAAATAAAAGGATAGCATTTTAAAAAGGTGGCTAGGTTTTTTTGGGAGAGAAAGAGAGAGCAAGAGAAAAATGCGAGAAAGGCACAAAAAATTGGAGAGAAAGAAAGGAAGAACAAGTGAAAACAAAAGGAGAAAACACCATCTAAGTATCTCGACAAGTTTAGAAATGAGCTAATCTATCAATGTCGAGCTTTTTATCCATTTTTAAACTTTAGCAGGTAATCTCTTATCATTTTTTTACTTCATCCCTTGTCAATCTTAGTAGGAAAAAAATACATTTGGATGTTCATTGATGCTAATGTATCTCATAGTCAACATAAACCCTAATAAATATGGTTTCTTACTTTGTTTTATGTATTTGATATAGCTCTAGATTTTTTTTTATTTTCTAAATTTTTTTCGTGAACACCAAATATGGGTTTCCAATCCATGTGTGAAATTTTATATATTTATGACATAAGATGATTTTCCATTTAAATCATCTTGTTGGCTACTACGGTATTGATTTTTCAAGCTAAAAATAGCAATTGTCATATTTTCCATCTTTGACATAGTGTTAAATGTTTTTACTTTATGCATTTTTTTACAGAACACCATTTACTATCCTTCTATATATTTGTGAAATTTCAGATCTTTATGATATATGATGGTTGTTTATTTAAGTTGCTTTATTGGCTATCTGCAGTATTGATTTTTCTAATTGAAAATGAGTATTGTTTTGTATTATATATTTGGTATAGTTCTAAATGCTTTTAACTTCTGATTTTTTTATATGAAC